GGAATTCTGGGAGTTGAAGTCCACTCATCTTAAAGTGGCCATGTTTGGACAACACTGGTGTAGGCACTTACATTTTTTTCATATGGCAACATTAGATTGGAAGTTAATCACCTGAGTGGCTTTGGGCTGAATGTTTTTCTTTTTTTAATTATAGTTGCCGAGAGGCTGGGGCCCTTAACTGGGATCTTTGAGACGGGCTTTTAAACCATTGCCCAGGATCTCTCACTGCACACATTCCTTTCCCAGTGGCTACCATTTGTAGTGGGAAGATAACTTCTACTAGTATCAGTGGAAGCTTTACTCTCAGTGCAGATAGCAGCTGTTGAGAGTGGTGGCTTTCAGATCAGGTCCGTCATGAAAGGAAAAGAGTGAAATCCTCACTGCTTTTCACTTTGCACTCCTATTCTAGAACAAGGAATCTTCACACCTCTTATGTGGTCAAGAGATAATAATTTGGTAAAGGGATCATAAATGTGATTTATGAGATTTTAATTTGGCCAAATGGAGGTATGGGTGAAGCTACACAAGGTGAACATGAGAAACTCAAGTGCAATAGTGGGATAAAGTCCTTCCTTCCCTGGAGTAAACCATAACTCAGCTGTGCAAAAGTGCATAGAATTCTAAATTGTTTTGATAGTAATTCAGCATGTGATACATTTGACACTAATAGATGCTTTTGGAATGCATGGTTTTCTGTCTAAGCCAACTGCAGGATGGTCTTCTCCCACCTGATGGTCCCAAAATGTGTTGGGCTTGAACTCCCAGAATACCTACCTGTTGCTGGTCAAACTTTCTGGAATTGGAAATCCAATACATGAAGAGGGCAACAGGTTAGGGAAGGCTGATGTAGGCTGCAGGAATTCATACAGCTCTTAATGGTCACTAGCTTAGGTAACTTTAAAAGGAGAAAAATATATAATGTATTACGTATGTCTCATAACAATATAATAAAACAAATTTAAAAAAGAAAAGAAAAAATCACGGAAAATAAGTATTTAGTTAATATCAGTAATGGAAGGTAAGTTGTTGGCTACTGTCAATAAAAGACTCATTAGCAGCGTTCTTGCGAATACTGTTATCTCCATGCCCAGTTTGGAAACTTTTGGGAGTTGACTGCCCACTGAATTTTCAAATGCACAACCTGATCTTACAGGATTCTTTACATGGTCTCAAACTACTCCAGTGTATTATCTCTTATTCTTGATTAAGATTGTCTTGTCGTTCCCAGGGTACTAACTGAGTTCTGATCATTTTTAATCTTTATTAGCCTCACAAGTTACAAATCCTTCTTTTCTGAAATCTCTTTTGACAGAGGCTTGCGGCAGCAAATCAGTATACGATGGGCCTGAGCAAGAAGAATATTCAACCTTTGTCATTGATGACCCTCAAGAGACTTATAAGACACTAAAACAGATTATAGCAAATGTTAAAACCTTAGAACAGGAACATGCCCAGTACAAGAGGGATAAGTTCAAGAAGACAAAATATGGAAGCCAGTAAGTGTGGGATGTTCTGAAGCACTACTGACATAGCAGTTGACTTGCTGGGAAAACAAGGAATGGTGGTTAAGTTTCAGTTTGTTAATGGCTTGCAATGGATAGATGTGTTGCCTTCATTGAGTCATTGCTGTTGCTACACAAAGCACTTGTTCATAGTTTGTGGCATATATCCACTGTCTGTTCCTCTCTGCCAGTGTCCTTGAGCCAGCCCCTCTCCTCTACCATGATATACCAATGATTTTCAATTATGGAATGGCAGTTTTCTGCAGGCTAGTTTCAAAACGTTAATAATCAGGTACGATTTTACTGAGAGCAAGAAATTAACAGTATAGTTCTGCAAAGACATCTTCAGAGCAGCAGGCCTTAAAGCATCTGGGCTGCTGAAGACTGCATGCAAAAACAAGCTCTTCTTGGAGAAAGAGAAGCATTCTACATCCTTTGGGGAAGGCTATAGCTCAATATTGGAGCCCATGTATTATAGGAAAATGTTTGGAGTTCCAGGTATGGCTAGCAAAGATTCCTATCTGAAATACTTGGAAGTTGTAGGCTACAAATTACTCTTATGCCCAACAGCAGCCCAAATACTGGTGATAGCCACCAACCCGTCCAAATTAAAAAAACAATAGCAATACTGAAATAAAAATCTTGTAATAAAATCTTTTGTAATAAAAATAACAAAATTCTGGGCAATCCCCCTTTCCTCTTGCAATACTCCATGATATTTCCAGGTGAAATTAGAAAAACAATGAGATTTCAGGCCATTTTCTTTCTGGAGAAGGTTGCCAAATACCAGAAGAGGCTGGTATTTTATTTATAGCATATTGAGATAGGTGGATTAATGATCTGATTCTTCTGTCCGCATTAACCAAGTAAGGTAAATTGTAATTTCAGCACAAAGCTATTAATTTCACTTGTTTACTACATGAACAGTTGCTATCCTTTTCTACTGCAAGATAAACATCATCTTCCTACCAGCGTATTTCTTTAAAGTAGTGAGGCATCTCCTAGGGAGGCAAAGGACATACTCTGTGTCTTATCTCGTTACAGCCTGACTCGTTACAGTTGCCAAATCTTCTTTCAGAAAATCATGTGATTATTCCCTAGATCTCTGTTTTTTTTTGTTATCAGACATGACCTGTACAACCTGTTTAGCTTGCAAAAATGTCCATATATATTCCATGGGTTTCTATTCTGTATTTATTTTATTTCTTTAAATTAAACTTAAATCATATGAAATGATGTACAGATCCATCCATCTCACAGCCATGATGCTATCATTCATGCCAAAACTTTCAGTCTGGATATGTTTTTTGTGGAGGATCTTTCTTGCTATCTGAAAATTTAGACTAAGCATGTCGATCTTTCCTTTATCTTTTTCTTCCCCCTTTTCACTTTCTAGGGAACATCCCATTGGTGACAAGAGCTTCCAGAGTTACATAAGGCAACAGTCAGAAGTCTCAGCGCATTCCATTTGAAGTCTGAAGAAAGTTACAAGATGGTGTTGCTGAAGGACTGAAGAAAGAGAAAAGCCACCTGTAGCAAGATGTACATAACAAATGTCAAGCTTGCTGAGGCTTGCTAAGTGTTTTCTCTCTCTCCAAGAACTATTACAATCGTTGCTATGCACTTTATTCATCTGGTGTTAACAGATGAAGGAACTCTGCCTTCTAGGTGGTTCTCATCATATGTGTTGTGCTGCATTTTTAAAAGTGTTGCTCTGGTTTCTTGGAATCTAGTGATCAGTTCAATGATCAAAGCCTGTGGACTTCATATTGACAACTTCCACAATCCTTTTACATGGCTGAGAGCCTTTTTCTAGATTTCTAATTTTTGATGGCTGATTAGGGGCTACTTTGCATTACGCCACAGAGCCATTAGGGAAGGCCTTGCAGCATTTGCTTTGTAATGGAGAGAAGCCCCATTGGTTATAGATGTAGTCTCCCCTCACTGGAGCTTGCCTTGACCCCAAGCAGACTGAACAACAGGGTATTTTGCTCTTAGCATTAGCAGCGTATTATTGGGTTCAGAAGAACTGGCTTCTAAAAAGAAAGTCTACTATTTAATGGTACTCCCTGGAATTTTTGAGATAACAGAGTTGTTTCCACTAAGGCATTCAGTCAATTTCTATTTTTTCCTATAAACATGAATAATTACATATTCAAACAAGTGAAGTATGAATAGTACAAGAATACTTGAAGAGTAGTCACAAAAACAATGGTTTGATGATCAGAATTAATGATTTTCTACTATTTAAGGGCCATTTCAAATGCAATACGTTTCTTACATCTCTAATATTTCCATGTAAGAAATAAAATCAACCATGAGCAATTTCTCAATGAGCGAAGTGAGCACACACTTCTTTTTCAGTGATATTTACAGGAGGAAGCAGAGATAAATTTAATTCATGAAAAGTTGACTTAATATGTAGTACTGTAGGTGACCTCACCAGGTTCTTCCTCAGGGAATTTGGAAAGCAAAGGGCGGCTATATTCTCTGATTAAAAAAAAAAGCTATTTCTTCTCTAGAGAGGTTGACTGCAACATACTACATACTAATACATTTCAGCAAGGAATGGAGACAAACGAAGATTTTTGCAAGATGGTTTGCGCAACCTACATAGAAATATTAGTGTAGGAACAACAACATTCCATATGCAATAGGCTGAAGAAGGCAGAGCTGTAATGTAAGAGTAGCTTGTTATGCTCCCTTAAAGGTGCAGGAGAAGATGCTGTCAGCAAGATATTGGTAAAGAGAGATCTTAACAGAAAGTTATGGAAGCTTTATCCTGAATGTTGATGAGGCTGAAGTTCCTGTTCTCCTGGCACTACCTGATTGTTTCATATAAGCATTTAAACAAGAAGTATTTCAAGGATAAAGATATATTTAGTTTGGGTTGTTTTCATTGTATTAACATACAGTGTATTTTATTAATATGTTATAAGTAGATGCAGGGCATGGGGGGGTTCAAAAAACTCAAGATGGCGACCACACGACCACAATCTTGACTTTTTTGACACCCCTCCCCACAGATTCCCCTGAATACATGAAATGGAATGTGCAGCATACCTCATGAATGCAAATAAATATTGTTGGGGGAGTGACAAGATGTGTGCGTGCACATGTGCACTATAAAATTATAAAATGGCTCGGACCCAGACCAAGTTAGTTGCACTTTAAGCCCCACTGATAGGTAGAAAGTATGTTATGACCAGCATAAGCCTTGTGTATTTCAGTTAACTTAGATATGCCTAACTGTCTGGATCCAACCCAATATAGCTGTCATAGCTTCTCTAAGAGTCTGATTCATGTTGGGCTTTGACAAAAGTCAAAGTCATGTGACAGAACTTACAGGCTACTCTTGGACCACACTTAATGAACCTTCAGCTTCTTTGGATCCTAGAAGAAACGTGAAGAGTGATGTCTGCAAACCAGCCCCACAGTAGTAAAATCCTTACAAAAAAGAATGACAAGTCTTTTATGCAGTCTCTATTTTTAATGGTTCTTGTTGTTCTTAGCATTAGGGTACATTAGGAAACTACACAATGAGAATTTATAGCCTATCAATTGCCAACAGAAATGCTAGGGAAGAACCGTACCATGTGCTCTGAACTGCCATTTGAAACTGAATGCCAGTTTTTTTAAATGTATTTGTAACTTAATAGTCTTTTGACGAAATACTAATGACCTGCAATGTGTGTTCTATTTGCCAATTAAAAGAAGTGTTTTATTTCTGAAAAGCGTGTGTGTGTTTGTTACAAACTAAATATTGACAAACCTTTTCACAAAGGTGAAGCTGTACCTTCAGCTAGGCACAGACAGTGGCTTCAGCAACATTTCATCAAAGGCTGCCTGTATGGTGAAGGGATACGGGCTTCATTTGTTTGATCGGTCAGTTAATCAGCTGCAGTTGCCATCTGATTCTTACTTCAGAGAACGTCTGCTTTTGTTTGCAAGTCAGCAATGGGGGGGAGGCTGTACAGCTTTGGCTATCAGTAAAACCCAGTTTTAATTGGTTTACTTATAAAGAAAGGACTACTTTAAAAAAAATTGGGAAGTTATACAGTGGAACCTCGGGTTACGAACGCTTCTGTTAACA